ACATGCGGGGCTCCTGGCCTGGCTTGGGCTCTGTCACCAGATGCCTCCCGAGGCCTCTGTGGCTTCCGTCTCTTTTCTTAGAGGGAGGAGGCACACCCTTTGGGCCTGGAAAACCCACCTGAACTTGGCCTGTTTCCTTTGTGTGCAACTTAACAGGCGGTGGTGGCCTCAGTGCAGAGTCCTTGCTTCCCGGGTTTCCCGGCCCACGGGCCAGCCTGACTCTTCAGCACAAGACAGAGCCCAGAGCACACTCGGGGGCCACGTTAGCCACCCGCGATGGGCAGGGTTCGCCAGTGCGTGGTGGTCCTACCCTGTCCTGGGATTTTCTAGGTGCGTGTCTGTCGGCTCCTCTGGCCTCCTTCCCGCGGGGCCCAGGGTCAGTCTGGCTCTCCCATTTCGTGTTCTTTTCCTGGCTCTTGCCTGTGCTTGGCGCCGGGTCCTGACTCCAAGCTTCAGCAGGGCTGGAGGCCCGCGGGCTTGCACCATCTGAGCGTCACCCCCCGGCGCGGAGGACGTGGGGGCGGGCCGCGCCTGCAGCTCAGCACTGGCGGCGGGGACGTGAACCGCAGGCCTTTGGCGCATTGGCTCTCACCCTTTCTCAAAGGCTCCAAGTGACATAGCCAGGCAGCCTGGGATTGTGGCTGCGAGCCCTCCAGGGCGCCGCTCCCGGCCCAGCCCGCGCACCCCTGATACGCCAGGGGGCTTGGCTTCCAGGAACTCCTGGCCGGGGCTTGTGGACGCCGGAAATGCAATTTGTAACTCTTTGGAAGGATGGTAGGGAGGTCAGCGGGCGCTCTGGGCTTGGCCTGATCAAGAAGGGGCCTTCACAGGGTGCCCTGAACTCTGGGCCCACCGCAGCGGGCCTCGCGCCCTGGGACCCCCAGCTTGGCCGAAGTTTCTGGGTGGGGTGGCAGGGAGGCCCGCACCAGCCCAGCTTCCTGTCTCCAGGCCTTGCACTCGGAGCAGTGGAGGACCCGGGGCTGGGGAGGTGTGAGGGGGACGTTCCCTCATGGCGCGCACCCAACAGGCACCCCCCGAGGGTGGGTAGTGGGCACGGGCGCAGGGCCTTGGCGCGCGCGGCGGCCTGGGAACTGGGTGGCTGGGCGGTGGGAGGCCGGGTGAGCCTGGGGACGGCCCCTGGGAGACTGGATCGCCTTCTCCCGACCAGACTTTGGCCAAGCTGGGGGCGGTGCGGAGGGTCAGCGGTCTAAGCGCTGCCGGGGCCTTCCGCTCTGTGCCCCGCACGCCGCTCCCTGAGCCGGGCGCCAGGGGTGGCGGGCGCTGTCTCTTTAAGGTCACTGCCTGCTCCGGCACGACGTGGGGAGGACAGCTGGGCACTGGCCATCTGACTGACTCCGGCTTGACATCTGGGAGCCCACTGGTGTGTGGCACGCGAAGCGCTTGATGCCGCTATTTAAATGCAAATGTGAGGGGGCTCATTGAAGCCTCTCCCCGTAAATCCGCACAAAAGGAATACTTCCCACCCTCGGAGGAGGCGGCGGCGGCGGCAGCTCGAGGGCCACCCGTGCAAATCGCGTTGGGCGCGGGGCCCTGAGTGGTCGCTGCCGCCGTTGCGGCCCGCCGGGTCACCCGCAAGGGTCAGGCTCCGCCCGGTCCGGCCCCTAAACGCCCGTCTGGCCCCTGGGAGTGCCCTGTACGCCGAGGTTAGCCTGCCGGCCGCAGCGGGCCTGCGAATCTTCCAAAGTACCAGCCTGTCCCTCGCCACTCCCCCCTCCTGGGTACCTGGCGCTCCGAGTTCCCCAGAAAGGGCGAGGGGCGCGGGCAGGGCTACCCGGGAGCGGGCTGGGCGCCGGGAAGCGCTCTCAGCACCTCTCGGGGTGTTCGGGAATTGGCCCGCAGCTCCCCCTCCCTCCCAAGCGTGGGTGCTCTGCCCCTCGCTCCCCTTCGCTGCGGCTCCTGCCCATCAAATAGAAACTCTGGGGGTGGGGTGGGGGCGGAGGGGGCTGCCCTTCCAGGCCGCTCCGCAGCAGGCCGGGGTGGAGACCCTGCCCTGGCGGCGAGTCCTTGTGCCCACAGCTCAGAGCCGGCAGCGGAGTGACAAAAAAGATAAAGTTGGTGAATGATAAAGACCGTATTTTCCACGCTTTGGGTGCGGGACCAGATGATCTAGAAAATGAGCTGAAATGGATTCAGCCTCCGAGCCTGTTGTGAGAGCAGCTGATTCCCCCATTTCGGGCCAGATGGCTGCTGAACACAGATTTGCATTCATTTTCGCTTAATATCGTCCAAAATAGTGGGGCAGCTGCATTTGTTGTCAAAAAGGTTTAAAACCCCTTTTCTTTCTGGGGCAGGATCGTTACCTTATGTGATGGGCTTATAGAACTTTTTTTTCCTCTTTAGTCAACAGTATCAGATTTAGAAGGATTTGTTTTTAAACCTTCTAATTTGGTAATCAGATTTAAATCGCCTTGGCGCGTGTAATCTGAATTAAAGATACTGTAAATGATTTTAAGCGTGATACTTTCGTTAGCGCAAGGAAGGGGCACCTCCAGCGCAGGCTGGACGTTTTAGGAAGTGTGCTACAAAGGAAGCATTGTTTCCTATTTCCAACTTCATCCTTCCCGAAAAGGCACTTTGCATATTCTGACAATAACGCTCGCCTGGCCGCTCGCCCTACGTGAGCCCCTGAAGCAGCTAAACACCCAGAGACAAAGCGTTTCTCAACCCCACCCTCCACTGACGGCCAACTTTATTTTGCATTGTCTCTCCACCAAGAAAGTGTTCCCTTCTAACAAGGGTCTGCTGTGAGTGGAAAGCGCTGGGCTTATTAGGAATACAGAAATTTTCTTTTAATTTATCATGAATAGTTTCCATACACTTTGATTTAAGGTTATTAACATTCTATAGACAGTGGCATCTTTAATATGTGGCGATCGCTTCTAAAGACTAATCTCATTACCCTCAAATAGTCATAAAATATGATTTTATTATACTTACGTATTTAATTAGACGGCCGGCACCGTAATGGATTTTGAGATGGGACTGGCGCAACAGCTTTGATAATTCACTTATCTTTGGCAATAGTCATTAACCCCCAACACCAGCAAAATAGATTGCTTTCCAACACGTCTTTTTTCTCACTCCTTCCAAGAGGAGTGGGGGTCCTCAGATAACGTAAATCGGACTTCGATTTTCTCGATTAATTAAAATATTAACGTACACACGCTGCCAATTCACGAAAAAAGGGAATGCTGCCCCAGACCCGGCGGGAAGAGGCTGTCCTGCGACACACTTGCGCCCTGAAACCCATTTTTTTTCCTCTCTCTAATCAAAAGGGCCTGATTTCTCTTGGCAGGGAAGTGCCCGGGACAGTTCCTGGTTGTCCCCTGGGTCTCCACTCCTTGTCGCGCAGACGTCTTTCGGGCGGGCCGCGCGCCTGGGCGCCGAGTCCCGGCTGCAGGAGCTGAGCCGCCGGGCCCACAGGCTGCCCGCGCCGGGCTGCCCTCCCGATTCCTAGAAACCAGGTTGGGAAGCCGCGCGCCGCGCGCTCACCCAGGTCCCGCGGCACCGAGGGCAGGGCCCCAGCGCCAGCGGCGTCCGCTCGGCTTTTGGGGCGGTGGGCGCCGGGGCGGTCTGGCTACCGCGCTGGGCGCGCGGCCGGACACTGGGCTCCGGGTCGCCAGAGAGGCCAGGAATGCTTCCCTTTGCCCGGAGAGGCCGGAGCCTTCTTTGTCACTCGTTGCGCCTAAGGACAGGCTCGGGACCGGTGTCTACCGCGGCCACCGGGGGAGAGGGAGCATCTGGTAGAACCTGCCTCCGACGTGGATTCCCTGCACTTGGCGGCCTCCGCCGGGGTAGGAAGCACAGGGTGCCCAGCGGGGCTAGGATAGGGGCTTACCGGCCCCGAAGCAGCCTTAGGTCTGCTTAGAAATCAGGCTGAGCTGTGCGTCCAGCCTTGGCGGGGGAGCCCTGCGCACCCCTCCTTCCAGCCCGTTGAGCGTCCCTCCCTCCACCCATCTCCCGGCGGTCGACCTGCCTCTTCCCACTTTTCCTTTTGGGCCGCCCCAGGGAGAGCTGCAGCCCCTGCATTTATTGCATGCATCTGGGCAACTTGGGGCGCATCTTACACTCCCCTTTGCTTCCCCCCAGCGCATCGTGTTTTGACTGTGTGGCAGGTTTTGCGGGGAGGTATTAGGGGGCCAAGCTGCAATTGAGCGCCGGCTGCGTTTGTTTCTTTTCAAGATTTATTTGGGCGAGTAGTAACTTCCTTGGCTGCAGCAGGGCGCGAGGAGCCGCGGCGCGTGGCGGGGGGCGGCGGCGGCGCTCGGCGGCGGCGGGGCTCGCGGGGCTCGCGGGGCTCGGGCCGGCTCGCGGCGCCGTCAGGCAGTCAGTCGGCGGGAGCCGTGGCGCTGCGGAAAGGGAGGGCGGCGAGGGGCGGCCGCTCCCATATATGGCGCTGGCGCCGCCCCCCGACGTCACCCTCTGACAGCGCCGCTCCCGGGGGCTTCGAGTTTTGGCTCCCGGGAAAGGGTCCATTCCTCGGGGAGAGAGGGCTGAGTTTTGTGTGCCTCCGTCCGCTGCGCGCGCCGCTCCAGGCCCCGCCGCGCCCCGCCTGCGCCCGGGACTGCGCCGCGGCACTCACTGCCCCGTTTATTTGTCTTTGGAGCAGGCGGGCCGCGCCAGAAGCGGGCGATCCCGCAGTGTCCTGCAGCCGCGGACGCCGCCTGGCTAGGATGACACCACGTTGAGCGCGCCTGCAAACAACAACAACAACAACCGCCGCCGCGGCCGCCGCGTCCTGCTCCCCCGAAGCAGCGCCGCCGCCGGTGGAGCCGCCCCCGCGCCCTCGGCCGTCCGGAGCGCCCGGCCGCCGGTGTATGTCGCGCCTGCCCGGGACGGGCTGAAGCCGGCGGCGGGCCGGACCGCAGGCGCCGAGAAGGGCCAGGCCGGCCAGGGCAGCCGCCTGCCGCCGAGCCCCGAGCGCCGCCGCTCGCGGAAACGCTTTCGGCCGGGAGCTGCGGCCGCCGCCAGCAGTTTTCATGTTTGGGATTCAGGAGAATATTCCGCGCGGGGGGACGACCATGAAGGAGGAGCCGCTGGGCAGCGGCATGAACCCGGTGCGCTCGTGGATGCACACGGCGGGCGTGGTGGACGCCAACACCGCCGCCCAGAGGTACGTACCGGCCGCGCCCGCGCGCCCCGGCCCCGGCCCCGGCCCCGGCCCGGCCCGGCCCCCTCTGCCGGCCGGCGCCGCGCTCCTCACCGGGCCGCTGTCTCTCTCCTCCCGCAGCGGCGTGGGGCTGGCGCGGGCGCACTTCGAGAAGCAGCCGCCTTCCAACCTCCGGAAATCCAATTTCTTCCACTTCGTGCTGGCGCTCTACGACAGGCAGGGGCAGCCGGTGGAGATCGAAAGGACCGCTTTTGTGGACTTTGTGGAGAAAGAGAAAGTAAGTGCCCACGCGCGATCGCAGCCTGCTCTTTCGAGAAGTGGGAGGCAGGCGGTGTCGGCGCGCGGGTCCCGAGCGCCCCCCTCGGCGGCGGGCACGGCTCCGCCAGGCGACCCCGCCGCCGCCGCCACGTGCGGCCGCCCGGGACCGCCCAGGGCCGGGCAACTTCTCTGCGCCCCCGGACTTGCTCGGGGCGAGGAGAGCGCCGGGCGCCCAGCAGCAAAGTGACATCAGCGCGCCGCCGCGAGCTCGGAATCCTGCCGTGCGTGAGGCCGAGGGGCCTCGGCCGTGGCGGGGACCGAGCGCGGTGGGCGCGCCTGACACCGACCACACTAAATGCAATTGTTTATCGTTACTTTCAGGAGCCAAACAACGAGAAAACCAACAACGGCATCCACTACAAACTGCAGTTGTTGTACAGCAACGGTAAGTGCTGCCTGCTCGCCGCCTCCTCCGCCCCGCAGCGGCTGCCTCTCCCTGTCCGCGGTGGTCAAAGGACATAAAGATTTTGAGATTAAAATGACATGGATGTAAACACGAAATCTTCTCATGGCATAGAAGGAAAACAAAACATAAACGATCAATAAGTCGATGGCACTTCACATGATTAACCGGTGGGGCTCGGAGTAGAAAGTAAAAGGGGATCGATTTGGGCTCCAGCAGAACATCACTTTTAAGTGACTTTTTTCAATTTTGCAAATTAATGTTAATTATTGGGATGAGGGTAGCTCCATAAACCGAGCATAACTTACTTCCTGCGCACGAGTTTAAAAAAAAAAATCCTCGAGAGACATTAGAAAGAGTTCAGCCTCTCACTCAGTTTCCATTTGGTGCTTTCTGTTTTCTAAAAATAAATGACCACATGGGCCCACCGGGCACAGCAACCAGGCCTGCTCTCCACCAGGCAAATTTCCTGCACCTTGAAGTGCAAACCCTGAGAGTCTTTAGGTTCTTAACTAAGAAAAGAAAAAAATAAGAAGTGTCTGGGGTTCTCTTTCTCCCATTTGAAGAGATTGCCTGGGTTTCGCTGCATCACCCAGGCAGCAGCCCTGAGTCACCCATTTCCTGTGCCCTGGTGCCCTTCCAGAGGTGCCGCGAGAAAGTCCTGATGAGAATTTGTCTCTGTTTTTTGCAGGAGTCAGAACAGAGCAGGATCTGTATGTTCGCCTCATAGATTCAATGACCAAACAGGTGAGAAAGTTTACGAGTGTGCACTAGTTTCCGCTGCTGGGCTGGGGTTGTCCTGGGGTTCAGAGACAAGGGGACTGACAAATGGATCTCGTGTATTTGTTTTTCATTTAGTTCCTTGGCATGCTAATGAGAATTCCATATTTATTGGAATAAATGAAGCGATTGGTAAAATAGTTTATGTTGTCATTAGGACAGGACATATATGCTTTATTAAATGTCTTGTGATTGGAATCATATTCTGTCTCAATTAATTATGGTAATTAATATTTGACAGAAAAATTTCAAGATGCCCCCCACCCCTGTTTATTTTTAAACGCTTCTCTCTTGGCAAGGAATCATTTCACTGATTTTTTTTTTTTCGGTAACAAAGGCAACTAATTCCTTTCCAAGCCCATCGAGTTGCATGATTAGTTCATTTTCTTCTTCTTTCCAGTGTGATGCTCTAGTAACATGAGACATTTATTTGGATTTAAAAGTTAAATGTGTTGGGGTGAAAAGTCACCTTGTTCTCTAGTCCATCTTCACCTCGCAGCCCCCCAGCTCCATAATTCAAACTCCAAGCTCCAGGGGTCACTCCAACCCGTCCACCCCTCTGCTCCCTCTCCCACCCTCTGTCATACCTTGTAAATAACATAATTACAAGCAGTTCCTTATTAAATTATTTAACCTGTCTTGGTCAACTTTTCCGATGATAACTATTGGCTATCAGTAATGTGATTAAGTGGAGAAAGGCGCTTCATTGCTTTTTGACATTGTGCAGTCTCTGGCTGCTGGTTTTGTGCCGGGTGGTGTGTTGGTGATTTTGTTGCTTTAAAGATTGTTTTTTTCCCCATTGTCTTAAAATTGTGTGTGTGTGGGGGGGAAGTGGGTCCAATTTGTACATTAAATCCACTTGGCACAGACTGATTTAAAATGTACTTCCAGGCTGGATGCTTAGAAATGAAAGCAGCTTCTTCATTTTAGATGCTAACTTGAAGAATTGTGAGCCAAGTAAGAGCTCACTGGGGCTTCTTAAACACACAGCCCAGCACATGTGCCTCCCACTCTCTGAACGCAATTAGTTTGCAGATTTTATTTCCCCTTAAAAAAGTTTGTCCTTACCTAGGTAGCAAGGGTGTGAGCATTAACGTCTGCAGCGGTAAAACTGTGGTTTTCTCTTAGAGTAAAACAGATCTGACAGGTAAACTAAGGTCTTTCTGACAAAGACGGAGGCAGTGTGCCCTTCGGTAATTATTATTTCACTGGGTTCAGAGAAGCCTCTGGAACTCAGGCTGCTGGTTGACAGGGTGCTTTTATTTCCTTGGTATATAACAGCTAAATGTTTTCGGAAATCGCTGTCGTCTAATTAAGAGGTTTTTGTAGGCAGCACCAAGTTTCTCTGTTGTTGCATAGAGGAGGAGGCTTCATTTTAAGTACACTTTTATTGTTCATTTAGCCTTGTACCTTTGCAGTATAAACAGGGCAGAAAATAAAGGCATTTAATCTCCTCTCACTGACGGGGATGGGAGAAAAAAAGAGAAAGAAATAGCCCAGTAACTGATCAAAGAGTCAATGGCGCTGAACCGACAGTTTATGGATTTCTGTTTGTGCTACAAAATAAAAAATAAATCACATATAAATACGGGGATCCATCGGAGGGCAAGCGACTCTCCAAAGTGCTGGTGCCGCGGCGGCCGCGCGCCCTGCAGCCCCAGGCGGCTCGTTGGCCTGCGGCGACACCCATCACTCCTGTGGCTTCGAGCGGGGGTCCGGGTGGGAGGCTGGGGGAGAGGGGGTCGCGGAGACCCTCCTCTCTTCCCGGGAGGGAAGCCCCGGGCTTTCACCAGAAAGGGCTTTGTCCGCCTGGAAGTGGAGGAAAGTGTCAGCAGTGCCCGAGGAGGTTGGAAGCAATTTCTAGATAATTTCCAGATTGGGTGGGGGCGGGAACTGGAGAAAGGACAACCCTCCCCCTTCCGTGGAATTTTCTGCCGGGAACTTAGAGCTCCCAGCCCCCTGCCTCCCGCCCCTCCCCCAGCGGCCTTTTTTTTTTTCCTTTTTTCTCTTTTCGCGAGGCTGGCGGTGGAGGCCTGGCCCAGGCGGGCGGCGGCGCGGGCGGCTCCCGGTGCCCGGATCGGTTCCCGGCGGCGGAGCCGGGCTGAGCGCGGCCCTGAGCGCACCTAGGGCTTCGCACCATCTGGCAGAGCCTCTGCTCAAAACCCACCCGAGCGTGCGCGCAGACACTGCCTTTTTACTCGAGAAAAATCATTGTTAGCAGTTTCAAAATAAACACCAGATTGGCCATTAGCACTTTTTTCCCCAAATATCATCCGGCGAGGAGCACGTGGCCGCGCGGGCCAGTAGCTCCGGGGCCCGGGCGCTCCTGCGGGGCGCTGGCGGCGCCCGGACCCCGCATGGCCACGTGCGGCTGCTGCGCCGGGGCCTCCCGCCCGGGCCCCCGGACGCCCGCTGCGCGCGGAGCCCAGGCCGCTGCCCGCCTCTCTGGGCCGCCCCGCAGGCTCGGGGCGGCGACTGGGCCGGGCGGCGTGCTCACCGGGGCGCTGGGCTCGGCGTGCCGGGACAGCCGGCGCCCGCCTCGCCCGAGCCCGCGGAGCGCGCAGGGCAGGCCGGGCGCGGGCCTCAGCACGCTGCTCCTGCGCCGCCGCGGCCCTCCCCGGTTTCTCAGCTGCAGCTCGTTCCCATCGGCTTCTTAAGCAGGCAGATGGGAGCTGGGTGTGGACAATGGCCCGAGGACGCAGCGTGGAGGCGGCCCAAAGAAGCCGAGAGAGCTCCGGGGGCCGGGGTCGCCGCCAGCGCGCCCTCGCTCCCCGGCCCGGCCTCGGCCTTGCCCTGCCCTCCCCGCAGCCGGAGCGGCCGGCGCCCTCCCGAGCCCAAGGCCCCTCGCAGGCCTGGCGGGCGCCCGGGGAGGAAGCTACGAGGCAGCGGAGGGCGAAGCCGCCGCGGCCTAGCCGCGCTCCGGGGCTGACCCCGTCGGGAGCGTGGCCTGGGGGGGCCGGGACGCCTCCCCGCGCCGGCCGTGCACCTGCTGCCCGCGAGCCCCGCAGCGCCCGGGGCGATTTGGCGCCAGAGCCGCGGGCGCCGCATAACCCCAGCCTCTGCTTGTCCCCGCGCAGGCCATCGTCTACGAGGGCCAGGACAAGAACCCGGAGATGTGCCGCGTGCTGCTGACCCACGAGATCATGTGCAGGTGAGCGGCGGGCGGCGGGGGCGCGGGGGCCCGGCGCCGGCTGCGTCTACAAAGGACGCCGCGTCCAGGCGCCGCCACCCCGCCCGACTTCGGGGCGGGCATCGATTGAAACGTAATCGGCCCGAGGCCGCGCGCCCGGCCGCGGAGGAGCCCGTCCTCGTTTCCCGGTGGGGACGGGCGGCGCGACCGGCTGCTCGGCAGAGCGGATTAATGCGTTGGCCGGGTCGCTGCAGTGTAGTCAGAAATGGAAACAAGTCGGGGCGATGCATCCGTGCTCGGTGCCGGAGGAGTCAGGGATCGCTCGAATCATTTTACTGCTTCCTTCTCGGGCGCTCGCATCCTGAGATACACCATTGTCTGTTATTGATAAAAAGGAAACTCTTTTGTACTTATTGTAGAGCTCGTGTATGTGCGAATTGGATTGTGATTCTGTCAGTTAACCTCTTCCCTAGAGCAGCGATGCATCGTTCATGTTGTTGTTAGATAGCATGCTCGTTCCTTGAGATCTCTGTCAGAAGAGCAATTTCCCACCTGTTTTTTTCTAGCGACCACAAGAGTTTCACCCCTACACGGCAAATAAAAATGCATCATTGACTTTGTATGTGCGGCATGTGAAATATAGTTGCGAGGAATAATAAGGAAGTGCTGTGCGGGATTCCAGGCTACAGTAGCAGGCCGCGTACTCTGAGGGGCATCCTCCGCCTGGCTATGATGCCTAGTGCCTAAATGCCATTTCTGAGCAGACATATTGTTACAGCACTAATATACAAAAGCTGACTTTTTCTCATATCAGGTAATAAATATAAATTACAACCAATAAAGTGGAATTTCTTTATTATCCACTTCTGCATGTACTGCAATTAACATAGAAAGCGCACAGATGTGATTTAAGCTCTAAGTGGAAGACTGTAGACTTTCTTTAATCACTTTAGCTGTCAGCTTTAAAAGGCTTTATATACTTTGCCTACCATATGGTGTTAATTTAGCTAATTTAGACATGTAACCATTATACAAGTATGCTTTTTTAAAATGCAAGAAGCATAACATTTTTGTTTCATTTCTGCTTTAATTAAAGTTTCAATAACAGAGTTAAGGTAGGCTTAAAGAAGGAACAATAGAAGTTTGTGATAGATTGATGCATGCTTTTGTGGTTATAATTAATAAATGCCCAAAAGAAATATTGGTTGAAGGTGGCATCTTGCATCTTTTCCAGAAATAACAGCTTGACAATTAGAGGTAAACAAAAGACGAAGCTGTGAAAAGTTATTCCCAAGCCTCCTGCCTTTCCTTCTCCTCAGTTCATTGCAAAGACAAACACTGACAACATGTTTTCCATATTTTAGCATCACAATTTATATAGTACTCAGGTTGCCCTCCTAATATTAACAGATACGTTTAACTTTGCTCCCTCCGGTAGAAAGTTACATGGTAAGTTTAGCTGCAGAGCACGTGAACTCACTAGGTTTAAATTTGCCAAACTGCGTTGATAGGATAACTATTTTCTTGACTCCTACCGCTTCATTGTCAAGACTTAACAACAACAAGAAAAATTACAGGTTGGGCATGAAAGGATGAAATGCATATTAAAACCACTGTTTACAATTGCTCCACAGCCGGTGCTGTGACAAGAAAAGTTGTGGCAATAGAAACGAAACACCCTCAGACCCTGTGATCATTGACAGGTAAGGATGACTTCTTTATTTTTCAAAACAAAACTGCAGCAACAACAAAACCCTTTGCCTTGCTTGGTTTCCAGTTGCTCCATATTTTTGAGGCTGGTGTTGAGCTCATCTTGTGCATGGCACCATTTGTTGTCCGCGCGCGTTATCATGCACAGGTGGGTTGACTTGGAAACCTGGTGGCTCGCTCTGTGGGGATTCGGTAATTGCTCGAGAGTTGTCAAGGGAAGCAGTTTCATCTGCCACTGCTCTCACTGTGAGGGGCACTTTATGCCTAGAGAGTTTCTGGCTTTAAACCCAGAGATATGTCATAAAATGCTTTTTGCTAATTTGTTAACAAGTATTTCATTTTTGCATTATTTTTTTATCTCAGATGATAGTCGAAGTTGAAACTTGGGTGGTGTTACTGTTGTAATTGTTGCCCAGTGTTAGAATGAATTTAATCTGCTCTCAATTAGTTGCAAAATGTCTCCTAATTTTTTTCCAATTGTGGCTGTCGTTTTATGTCAAGTAGCAAATATGTAACTAACAAACCAAAGTTGTTATAATTGAGACTAATTACACATGCTGGTTACGTGTTCCAAGATTAATTTCCATAACCAGATTAGCTGTATGCATTCTTTACATTTGCTGCTCTTCATCTTGCTGTGTATCCTTTTAAGATACCAATCATCAGTTCTAACAGTGCTAATGTGCATTTGGCATTGCTTTAGTTGAAATGACAAAAACCCCACCACCCTCCTTGCCCAACACTCGGCTGCATCACTGGGTTTCGGTGACACGGAGGAGAGAGGATTTCTTTCTCCCCAACAATGGTAGCAGCAAAAGGCCCAGTGTGTGATTGACTGCAGATTTTGAAATTGGTACCCAAATCGAATAAATGTTAGGCGTGTACATATGACACCAGTTTTGTGAAGCAGAGGTTTGGACGGTTTTGAAGAGGGGTTGAATTTCAGCAGCTTTCATTACAGAGTTATCTTTTGATCATGAACTTTACTGTCCAGTGTCTGAAAAATTAAACCCGGAAAACTCCATGAGTTAAGCCTAAAGAAATATGCGCCACCAGTGGAGAGCAATGCTAATGTTTAACTAGCTGGAATAGCTGTTTGCTTAGTGGAGAATGTTCGGTATCTGACAGAAGGGACAGCTCTCTTATTAGTAATCAAATAGGGTTGACCAGTTGTGGCCGTCACTCAGGCAATTGAGAACAAGTTCAACACTTTATAGAACTCGAACTACAAAAATCAGTATAATTATATTTATCTTCAGTGTTGTGACTATGGAAATCATATAACCTAGGATTGTTGATTTGTGACCGAATCTTTTATTTTTTTTGATTGGCTGAAAGTGTTGGAGCTATTGGAATCTTGTCTGAGATGGAATCTTGTCTGAGTCTAAGATGTTTGAAAAGGCAGTGCATGTTTGCTTTTAATGCAGGATTACGAAAGTGTTTCATCTTTTGAGTGATATTTATAAATTTAAGAAGAGGACTTGTTTCTAAATCATGAGATTTATTTTGGATGCTGTGTTTTCCCTTATAGACCAATTTGGATTTGTACAACATTTAATCCTTTATTGATTATTAATACTGAATAACTTTTAGTACTTAGTTTTTAATTACCTGATGGGAAATATATTCCTCAGATATGCAGAAATGTATTCTTCAGTTCTTGACTGAGTGAATGCTCTCTTATATTTGGTTAATTAAAATATGTCCTAAGATTACTTATAGTTCTGTAACAAAAGTGTGCAATTATTTGATATTCTAGAAGCATGAGAGGAGGGGAAAAATGTGAAAACATTTGGTTAATGGGTTTACCATGTTTATTTGAATAAGGAGGATTGAAGCTCCATTTATGCCTGGCATAAATGCTTTGGAGGTCTTAATTATTGATGAAAAATCTGCTCTGCTTCTAGATTCACAGATAGGACAATTTTATAGAAATTTTAATCACTTTCCATGTTAAGGATTTTAAGGTAAGGCTAGTTTTGTGAAATGACAAGTACAATGTACATTTTAGCATTCTTAAGAGGTGTCACTTACAATGGCAACACACTATTAGCATTTTGTTTGCTGTAAGTCCCTGTGAAATGATGGTAGTATTGGCACTGTCTCCAGCTTAAGGCATATTCTTAGGTGAAAAAATGAAGAATTCAGTGTTCACTAGCGCAAGTTATGTTAATCAGAGCAAGAGAAATACCTATAGGAGGGGAATGTCTTTAGAGTGATGCAGTCTTTCACAACTGAGATGTGTTTCAATTTCATAATGATAATCATTTCTGTGGGGTGTTTGTTGCCTCTGAAAATTAGTTGCTTATGTTGAGTTCCTAGCCTGTGTTTCCTCTTGAGCATTGCAGAATAAAAATGTCCCATCAGACTGGTGAGCCAGTTTACAGGTCCCCAGCAGTCGTGTCGTCACTTGGTTAGTTGGCTTAAAAGGGAATTATATACAATGTGCTTTGCCGGCTCTTTGTGGCCTTTGGATACATTTAGCAGGTTCTGACCAGATAAGGCATATTTGTCCTGAGGATATAAACCAATAATTCCAACCTGAATTGAGATCAATGGGCCCACATTTGTTCTAACCCGCACCGAGCCTCTTCCGGCACGTTGAGACTGCCTTTCTGTGTTATGAGAACAGAGAAGTAAGCTCCCTGCTCTGGCTGGGTAATCACATCCTATAGACTCTGACGCCTTAAATCAATTAATTACACAATTTAGTTTAGTTATCTTTCAGAAGCATTAAATACTTACGGATGGCATGGAAGACCCTTCAGACTGAAAAAGGGAGGAAAGCGAGGATGTTTCACATTACAAAGCCCTTTTAATTCATTATAAAGGTTTCGCTTGTGTTAACTGTTTTCTTTCTCATAAAACATTGGTAGAGAAACAATTTTTTTATAGCTCCACAGATATAACTATACTGCAGTGTATTTAAAATAATATAACAACTTACGGAGTAAAGGAGAAACATAACGTTGTAAAGTAAAAAGCATGATCAGTAAAGAGATACTACAGGGAAAAGTGTCTATGGTAAATCGTAGTGACCTGCAGAGCCAGACGCAAGTACGGGAAAAGGCACACGCACAGCCCCCACATACATGTATATCCATGCGTGTATGTGCACACACATATATATGCATGATTTTTTATGGTACTGCTGAAAAGGATGGGAGTATCATTTTCCTTGTGGAATAATGTTTTCTGGGAAAACACAAAAGCAGATGTTCTTCATTAGGAACACCCATTGTCCACATATCCCAACTATGAACAGATAAATCTCTCCTGTTTCACCCGTACATTCCAAGGGCTGCAAATGATTACAGGATGTCGGTGTAGCTGCTAAACCAAAACCACACTCTGGCTCACAGCGTTTGCTGTGCCACCTCTGTCTGCTTCCTTGGGGAGCCCTGGAAATGCCCGGGAAGGTGCATCCTCTTTTCCTTCCTCCTCCTCGCTTGGCCGGGGTGGACCAAAGTGCAGGGTCCCAGCGTTGCAGACGGGGAGGGCCGGCCACGGGAGCAGCGGCGGCATCGACGTGACTGCCCAGGCAGGCTGGGTATACGCAGTGGGCTCCACGCAGCGCCGGGAGCAGGCTCGGCGGGGCGGTTCCAGATGGCACCGTCTCCTGCGTCCTCCTCGCTGGCATCTCTGCGCCAGGCAGTGCCCCCTCCCCAGTAAATCTGGCATTAGTCAGTGGAGTTGGGGAGACTTACCATTCCAGGTCTGTCCCACTTTCCTGTCTGGAAGCCAGACATCTGTTTATCCCATTTTCTTTCATACAGAGTTTGGAATAGCTTTAGTTTTTTTGGGGGGGTGGTGGTGGTGAAGTTTTGTCATATTTAACAGCTGTTACAAAATTTCAACCCTGTGGGCTCTGAAAATACTTTTCAGCTGACCTCAGATTTTTATACATAATTGACATTGGGTTGTAGAAAAATATTATTTGCTTAACCTTCCATTGTCTGTGATTTCACATTGTCTGTAGTCAGATGACCTAACTAGCAACCATTTTGACTCCGTGCCCCCCCCAGCCCTCCAAAGCCTCGCTTTGATTCATTCGCACGTTTTAAGTTTATACCTTTCAAGTGATTGCAAAACGGTAGCCCAAGACCGATTGGAGATTTTCTTTTCCTTTCTTTTTTTCTTTCTTTCTTTCTTTTTTTTTTTTTAGTCAACAGTGTTTCCTTTCACTTCCTGTCACAAAGGTCAAAGAGAGCCGACCTTTGCTGGCAGTCCTACTCACTGAATTATTCATGGGATTGACTTTTTGTCAGCACACACAGTTGTGCTCTGGGACATTTTATTCATTTACCTCATTTAAAGCGCCTTTCTGCACCTGTTCAAGTATTAATATCATGTAATTTGGGCCTAATGCCGATTTTGCTGAACACTCATTATATTTTTTATTAGCTATATTTCCAAACGATTATATATGATTATCACCAAGCCTTACAAACAGCACCGGGTTATTCCCCAGCCCTTTACATCTTCTTGTCAGGTTGTTTTCAGAAGCGGGGAGGATAAACATTTGACCAGTCCCAATGTTTTTATTCCTACTCCATCTCCAAGCAGAGAACTTAAAGCTTCCTCCCTCATGGCTTTGCACGAGCGTGATTAAATCCAACTCCGCTGAAGCTGTACAAATGCCAGCATTTATAAGGTCAACGCTTTTGTTAAAAATGCTATGTAAATGAGGATCTGCAAAAAGGGACATTAAATAAAATTAAATTCATTGTCTTCTTTAATGTCATTTACATTTTGGCTAAGCCCTGGCCTGTCAAGGAGGATTTTAAAAATAATTTTAATTACACATCATTTAGGGATCCAAGGTTTTCTATTCAGTAGCATTTGGATAACCTGCAAAACGGAGACTGTTTATTAACTTCTTAAATGACAACTTGTCATTTCATCTGCATAATGCAATGAAAACAGTATAGTTTGGTGTTAATTTTTCCTTCTCAGTTTTCTTAAAGATGTGAATATAATTATCATTGAATAGGCCT